CAATAAAGCCCAGATAAACCCCAGTCTTACTGCAGAAACTGACCAGCCGAACTGACCGTTTTCTTCTAAAGGAACTCAGAAACTCAGTCTCTCTGTCTGACTGAGCTGAAACGGGCTTCACAGCGAGGCTCAATCTGATAGTTAATGGTTTCCCGCCTTAAATGGTGCCGAAGCTGAACACAGCAGGTTCACACGATCAGCTGAAGCGGCACAAACCTGATTTTCTGCACTGATGTGAACAGATCTGGTGTTTTCAGAGCTGCGTCGAGACACAAGTCTGATCTCAGATCCTACCTGAGCCTCTTTCCGTCCGATCTAATGAGAAGCTCAGATCTGCATTAACGTGTTTTTCCATTCAACATTACTGAAGTTGAAGCCTGTAAACGGTGGAAAAGCAGCTCATCTCAGCCTTTTCACCTCCGTCTCGCTCTAATAATGAAGCTGAGAGCTGATCAGAGTTAATGATCTTCACAGTGAAGCTTGTTCTGCTGGATAATTTGCTGTTAATGACGCACGTGCTGTAGTCACGTGATTCCTTATTGATGATGTGCGCACGCGGCTCGTTTCAGGCCGCCGGTTTGTTCACATTAACGACAGATTTGAGTCTCTTACCTGAACGAGTGAACCATCATGTCAGAAAGATCAGATCTGAGTAAAATAATCTGATTTCAGCACCGAGGACTGTAATCTGAACGCAGCCGTAACTGCTGGACTATTTAAGGTAGGACAGAAAATCTGAATAAGAAGCTGCTGAATAAATGTCAGTTTCAGCTTCACACATTTACCATCATTTCATTTCAGGTGAGGTTTACACAGGGTGTACAGCGTGAAGCTCCATGGTGGTCAAGCCGGTCCAGAAGGCTGGTGAGCAGTGGCACCCGATCAAGGCAGAACAGTATCAGACCCACAGGACGTGCAGCTGTTCAACTCGGCAAAGAAAGGAAACACAGAGAGTCAGTTCTGTAAAGAGTGACTGATCACAGATTACAGGGTTAACAGAGCAGCAGAGACTCCGGCAGGTCTAGATATTACAGCCTAAGTAAAAGGGAGAAACCAGAAAGAGTCATGAGGCATGAAACATTTTGGTGTAATAAAGGACTCTGAATGTCGTGTCTGTATCTTGCTGAAATGTTTAAATTGGAGCAGTTTTATTTTAACAGTTATCAGTGTTTTGCACAAAATTGTTTAGTTTGGTTATTTTTTGTTGATTTTTGTTAGGAAAAACCTGAATGATTGACTTTAGTCTAAATTTCTGTTGAATATCTCGCCTTTGGTTGTGTCAGTTTGATTGTTGGTCACAAACTCACTTTTTGGTGATCTTTTTGTGGATTTGCAGCTTTTCAATTGTTTCTTTCTGGCTCATGAATAAATGCAGTGTCTTGTTCACGCTGTCAGTTGGGCTTGTTTGGTGTGTCAGGTGGAGATTCACAAACATTCTGACAGTCATGTTTTGAAAGTAGCTAAAAAGTAGCCACTACTTTCTCTGGAAAAGTAGCTGAATTGTAGCAGCTATAAATTTGGGGAAAGTAGCTACTAAGTAGCTAACTACTAATTTTCCAGTAGCTCTCCCAACCCTGACCACAGAATTAAGGTTTTGCTGTCACCACCCAAGTCGCGTGACCTGAACCCTAGAGCACCTGTGGATGAGCTGAAGAGGAGAGTCCACACTGTGGAGATCTGAGTCTGAAGGTTCTGTGAGGAGGAACGGGCTCAGATCCTTTGCCATGTGTTCTCCAGTCTCATTAAGTGTTATAGGAGAGACTCAGAGCTGTTATCTGCACACTTCACCACCAAATGCCTTATAATCGTGTCATGATCCAGTCGCCTGGACATTAATGGCATGGTGCCCTTTCAGCAGACATATGCTGGTTCGTCCACTCCACTGGGGGCTTTGATTGGAAAGAAGCATTGACCAGGCCATTCACCTCCGCCATCCGAGATGATGGAAAAATGCTCCTTCGATGTTTGTGACTTTTTCCCTCCGGAAAACTGAATATATGCAGGAGCCAAATTACCGCAGCTGATCCTTCGCTGAGATTACGTGACAGCCGACTGAGAAATTTTCGCTATATCAGCAACTTTGCTCTGAAAATCATCTTTGGCATAAAAACGTAGTGCGTTACTGAGCTGCACCACGACCGGAGAGCCCCATGACGCCTTACTGGTGACTCCAAATCTGCCAACAACTGCTCGGAAAACTGCAGAATCACGGCCTGTGGGGGGCGGTAGTTGCTTATAAGCATTTTGTCGTCGAAACGCAAAATCATTTGTCTGTATTCACCGTTATGTATGATGAATAAATGTAAAGGCACTAAGCTGGTAAGTGCTAAGGTTGTTTTTCCACAGTTGCCCAACAACAGATTCTGTTTTCAATCAAATATTTTTTCATTGAAAAACCTGCTTTAGTTCACAGCTGGTGGGCACACATATCTGTGATGGTCTGCACCAAACAAGAGAATCAAACTTCATCTGTCTGCTTTATCAGTCACTCTTTACAGACCCTCACAACGCTCCTGCAGCTCCAGCTGTTAATAATAACAGAGCAATAAGACAATAACGAAGATGGGGGTTTGATTTTGGCTCCTGGTTTGTGGAATGTTTTTTTTTCCATACATCGGCACTTTGTGAAATTGCAAAAATAAAGAAGCAGATATGAAGTGAGGTTCAGTGTAATGGCTTTGTTTGTGATACACAATAAGCATCTTTTTTCCTTTGTTTTTTTATGCTGTGGAACATGAGACTGACCGAGCACTATTACTCCTGCAAAATGTCTGACCAATAAAGCAACATCCACGTGTGATATGGTCCACTTTAGCTGCAGCAACTACCTAAACCAAATAAAAGATATATCACAAAAAAAACAAATTCTGAGCCTATTTACATTGACATTTACAGTGATGTTCTCCACAGACGTGAGGCTGAAGTGCAGGTCAAACACACTGACGCTAATTAACCAGTTTCAGTCGGTCAGTCGCTGATTTAGTTCCTTTTTGTAACCAAATAAGCTGCATTGGTTTTTTTTTTCTTTTTTAACCATAAGTTTTGATCCAACACTTTTGGAGCTGTGACATCACTCATGACCCTGAGTCAGAATTCAGTGTTCTGTTCAGACCACCAGGGGGCGCTTCATCACAGCTAATCTAAGTAACCTTTTACAGTAGCACTTTGACACAAAACATCTATGCTGATCTCAGCGGCTTCGTTTCTAACAGCATCTTTTGTACTTTGAGTCTTTTGTACTTTGTGATGATGCAGCCTGTGGCTGTTCTGGTCACCATGAAACGCTGGGAAACGGCAGTATAGACGCCTTTAAGATGGGCATCCATTGCCTTATTTCTGAGGTCCAGACTTCTTTGTCTGCTTTTTCAGATGGTGAAATTTCTCATTGCAAATGAGGTGTAAGTGGCACCTCTCAGTGGAGACTAACCCGTTCACTGGAGTCCATTTAGTTCAGCACTGACTGATCAATCAAGCCAGACGAGCTTCACGTGGTTTGAAAACTAAACATTTTTGCTACACTTTCCTGAAAAAACTCACAGGGGGGATCATTTTGACGACCCCGATTTTCATTACATTTGTTATACATTAATTCCAATTTTTTTTTTAATCCAAAATGCAGTGAATGTGGTTTTTTACATGGATGAATGTTTTACTCTGTACAGTTTTGTGAATGATGTTAACATTAGACAGAATTTTAGGACAATGTTCCAAATCTCCCAGGGGGGCTAATTTTGACCTTAAAACATGAAGGTGGATGTTCAGTTATCACAAAATGCAGAATGTATAGTTGTACTAGTTGAACTGCTCTGTGTTTGTCCTTCCTCTCTGAGCGTGTGAGCAGCGATGTCACTGTCTGTGAAAGACTAAAACACTCGCTCATCCTCGGTTCGAAGACCCTTTGGTTTGTGTTTCTCTCATCTCTGGTCTTCAGACAGCCAGTAAAAACAGCGTCATGAAATCCGTTTCCAGGTGAAGGAGGTGAGGAGAATGATGGGTAACAAAAGAGCAGGAACTTTCAAGCTTTCCGGACGCACCGTTAGGCTGAGCAGGACATTCTGAAAGAATCTTTAATTCATAGCATCCTGACGACATCAGACAATCGCGCTGCCACCATTTCGGTGGACAACAAGGAAAATGTGTTTTTAAAAATTCTCACTGTGAGACGAATTTTTAAAGCGTATTAAACAACATATTTAAGTTTGAAGCTGATCTCAGTGTTTCTGGGGACGCATCACTCCATCCTTTTTGGTCATTCTGGTCTTCATCCATCATGCCCAGCAAAACAGCAGCAGGACGTTCTTAATGACAAACACTATGAATACAGCGAACTCTTCACATCAACACAGAGGGGGCGGAGCCACAGACCTTCAGATTATAAAACCCTCCGGCAGCAAACGAACATCAGTTTCTTTTGTAGAAGCCACTTCAGTCATCTCCGACGGGCGACGCGCTAAAGCAGCACTGCAGCGTCTTAATAAACGCGTAACCAGCACGCGACTCTACAATTTTGGTGTATTTAGTTTCTCCTGAGCTCCATTTCCAACGTTTAAAAAAAAAAAAAAATTGAACATTTAATTTGCATGACGATCGTCGCCTCTTTATCCTTTAATTGTTTGTTGCTGTGCCTTTAAGACCTTAAAATGCAAATGAGCTCTGCTCCGACTGGCTGCCCCATTTTGACTCATCTATGTCTGGACTTAAACATAACTGGACTTATAACTTTAGTGTGAATGGGCGGGGCTAAACGGTTTCGTTCACTTTTGCGACATCACAAAAACAATGAACTCCACAATTTTTAAAATTAAGTTTCCTTACATGGATGAACGGCGTCCACCGGGGAACAAACAGGACACTGAACTTTGACTGTATAACAAAAGTAAAATACGGGCCCTTTACAGAATAACAAATTCTGCTGTAATGTTTGTTTCTTCATCATCATCATCATCATCATCACCACCACCATCATCACCATCACCATCGTTGCAGAAGAAAACTTGCAGTCTGAGTCAAACAGTTACTTTATTTATGTCCAGGTAAAAACAAGAACCTGATGCAGTAAATTATTGCAGATTTTAGAAACCAGCACATGAACGTTTGGGGTCAGGAGAGTGAAGGACAGCGGCCCCCCCCGCCCCACAACACACTGCAGTGCACACACCACGGTCTGATCCAAGCCAGCAGTGCAAAAAAACTACAGCAAGGAAAGAAAATAATAATAGAAAATAAAAACGGCAGATGATTCCGCCTCAAACCGGGCGTGAAAACTGCATATAAACTTTATTCCATAAATGATTTGTTTTGAAATGTTATCTGGCCATGAAACGATAAAATGAGACCAGCCAATTCTTTTCTTTCTTTTTTTAATTAACTTTGTGCTCGGCTACATGACGGGATGAGAGCAGGCCGTTTTCGCTGAAGTTCCCCGTGCATCCAGCAGAGGCACTACACTAACCCACAGAGAGCAAAACAAAAAAACAAAAAAAAACAAAAACAAAACAAAAAAAAAGAACAACGAAAAAGAAAAAAATAGAAAAGTCTGTCTATCCAGCGCTGTGGATAAAATGTTCAACACGAGCGACACTCAAAGTTTAAATGTCGGCCAGAAAACCATTTCAACTCTGATAAAAAAACAAAAACAAAAATAATTTTAATAATAATAATAATAATAATAATAATAATAATAATAGTACAATAATAGATACTACACTTCCATCACTACCCGCATCCAACTGCAACTTTCTTACATTTTTTCTGAAAAATGTTTGCAAACAAGAGGAGAGAAATTAAAAGGAACAGGAACCGAAATGCAGCACGAACTGGAGTTCGATACAGAACAGAAAGCAGGAGGACGTCGTTTGGGGCCACACGGCTATTCTATCAAATGTAGAATGAGCAAAATCTGCAAATGTTGGTCTGTACAAATGATCTTTGGAGCTGTAAGAGAGCGCCGCCTGCTGGATGGACCCCCCTCCCCCCCTGAAAGCACACAGTGATGATGTCATTCACCACTTCAGAGGAAAAAAAAATCCCTTTTTTCTCTTTAAATATCACACAGCAACGCAGGATTGAAAACTTCACCCAACCTCTTTAACATTACTCAGCTACTGATATAGGCTTCAGATCTGCATCGACTTCTAATTTCTGTTTTATTTTGTTTTATTTCGGAGTTCCGGAGTCTCTCAATGCCGATTTTTCCGCTCTCAGTGGAAAAGGAGGGCAGCAGATAGAACATCAGTCTCTTTTCTTCGGCTTTTTGTTTCCACCGGCTGCTTTTCTCTGAACAGCGAGGCGTCTGTACGCGCCGCCTCAGTGTGGGTGCTTACAAAAAAGACCAAAACAAAACGAGGAAAAAGAGAGAAACAATAGAAAACTGTAGAGGAAGGGAGGAAGTGGTGATGCGTGTGGGTTCTGGGTTCTGCGGTGGGTTCTGAAGGCATTTCTGCGTGAGTTTGAGGGCGATCAGGACAGATGGAAGGACTGCTGTCCTTCGCGAGCTGCGATTAACAGTTTCTCACGCATGATCTCGATGCTCGAGTAATCCGGCAGCTTCAGGTAGTTCACGCACGTCATCACCGACGGCAGGAAGTCGTCCGGGTTCTCCGTCGACTCAAACGTTTTGCGTACGATGGTCAGAGGAGGGTTCAAACTCCGGAAACCTGGACAGGAGAGACTGAAGTTAGTCCTCCAATCAAACTAACTTTATAAAAGTAACCACAGAAAGTTTGTTGTCCAGCGTAAAAAAGCACTGATGTGTTTATAAACCCAGAACAGACAGGTTTGATTAAACGCGCTGCAGCGAGTGAGAGCAGTGAAGCCTCATCCACACCAACACACCGACCTGAAAATCACCCTTTCCTGTCTTTAACACATTTAAACCCATTCCAGTGCTGGTGTCTGTTGCGAATGTTGCAAGTTAAATAAGTGTTAGTATTCGTATAAATTTGTATGGTGTCTCAGTGCAGCTCTACCTGCGTCAACAGGTTGTGATGTTACGCTGATCTGTCCTATAGTTTTAAAGTACCTCACTTACCTACCTTACTTGTTTCATGAAGTGGAAACTGTTGCAGCTAAACTAATGTTACACTGTGTAATCCAGTCTGAGCGTCCAGAAAAAGCAATGACCAGTAAAATGAACGAGTCCTCCAACAATCTGAACACCAGCCGAATGTTTGTGTCTGATCGGGTCGCTCTGCAGTTACAGACTCAGATTTGTTATGTCAGACATCAACAGCACTGCAGACCACTTGGTGGAAATCAGGTAAAGTTCATGTCTCTGGTAGCAACAGGAAACCTTTAGACATGAAACTGTGTTTCTAATGTATCTATATTAAGGTGAAGTCTGATTGGCTCATGAGTCCCGCCCCTTCACCCGGCCGGAGCCCCGCTGGCTGTGCAAGTGGTACAGTCTGTGTCTCTCACCTCCCACCGGTAGTCGAGGGCTCCCCGTCACAAACTGGAGGAAAAGTCTCTGCTGCTCCGCATCAAAACTGCTGAGAACCTCAAACAGGAAACGGACTGCCCGACTACACACACACACACACACACACACACACACACACACACACACACACACACAGTTACATAACTGCAGCAATTTAACCTTTGATGTAAGAAAACTGCACAGTCATATGAAAATAATGATAATTTCTAGCTGGTGTAATTGCAGTGTTAGGGGGCAGCGCTGAGTAGCATCTGTTAGCTGACGCTAACGTTATTAGCACGTATAACCCAACAGCTGAAGCTGCGCGTACCTGTCGTGTGTGTATCCGTGATCAGGTCTGCAGCATTCCATCAGAGTTTTCACATCCCACGTTTCAGACTTGCTACCGCACAGCAACTGATCCAACTGAGACAGAAACACAGAGAAATTAAACACTAAACCACCGACCGAGTCGCTCTCGCTGTTACAGCACTGACTGACTGACTGACTGACTGACTGACTGACTACCAGTTACTACATCCTCACTGTTATTATTCAGTGACTGAATGGAGTTACACTTCAGTTTGTAGGAGTGAGAATCATAAACCTGAACTCACTAGCGCCTCCTGACTCTGTAAATCATTAATGACTAATACCTGAGAGGCTCTGAATTAATCTAATTTATAATTGTCATTCAGTCAGTGAAAGGAAGCAATTTTAACTGCTGACCTTGAGTGTTTTCCCAATTTCCCACCCTCCTTCATTTACTTTATTGCTCTATATTTTTCTCGTTCATTTATAAGACTATAAGCTCTGTAATCATTAGGATGATTATTGTTATCAGATGTCTGGAGCAGCTCACCTCCTCAGGGTAAAAGTACTGCAGATGGTGGAGGGGAAAGACCGACTCGAATCCTTCCCTGAACGACTCAAACTGCCGCGACACTCCTTCATTCAGGGTCCAGTACACGACCAACTGCACACAGTCAGAGAGACACATCAGAGGAAACGCAGTCTGCACAATCGCCAGCTTCTCACTGGGATTTACCGTTCCACCTTAAATGAGGCAGCAGCTACACACCGCTACAACACTTAAGGTGGAACAGGAAATGCGAATAAGAAACTGGTGAACAAGCCAACGTCACTCACACGTTTGAGGCGAGTGTGCGATGATTTAAATATGCTGCTAATTGGTGGGATATAAGCTTCCATTACTTGTTAACTACGTTAGCCTCACAGCTGCAGTGCTGAACTAAAACAACTCCAGACACCAAACCACCCACCCTCAGATACTCCTCCAGGTTGTGGATGGTCACAGGAACGTCCTTCCCGCCCTTCTTCAGCTCGATGTTTGGGAACCCGGGCAGCGTGAAGTCCAGCCCCAGATCCTCCACCGAGCAGCCGTTCATGTTCAGACTCTCCAGCGCCTGCTGCAGCGTCTCCCTCGTCTGAGACACAGAACAACATCTCACCATGATCTCAAATCACAGCTCAATCACTATTTTTATCCTTGGCAAAGACTGTGTATCCATGTGAAGGTCTGTGCTCATGAGCTACTGTGTACAATGTTTAGACACTAGAGCACCAACAAACGACTAATCTGATAGTCGAATAATCGATTATTCGGATTATGAATCACTAAATTACCAAATAACTTTTGTAGCTATTAGCTTTTAAATTTAGCTTGAGATTGTTATGTATTTGCTATCAATCAAAACAAAGATGAATAACATTTAAAAATTCACTATTTTATGAACTTCCCTGCTAATACAAAAGATAAAAAATAAAAATCTTTTTCCTGTCACAATTTAAAACCAAGGATGTGCAAAGTAGCAGCAATAGAATAACAAAACTAAATAAGTTTTCCTTTTAATAAAGTAAATAATAATAAAAAAAAAAAAACTAAATTTAAACTTTAAATGTAATCAGTGCAGTTTGTGCTCTGCTGTCTGTCCACACTGCTGAAACTAAACTCTACAACCACAGGTCTTTAGTGAACCGGAGGAAAGTCAGTGCCTCTCACTCTCCTCTGAGAGCAGATATTTCCCGCTGCAGAGAAGACGTGCTCTGACTGAGCGGACGGGAATGTGGTGAATGTTTGTGGAAAATTTCTCTATGAACAGTTAAATGAACAATTTTGTGTAAACGCTTCATTTCATCAGTAACCCTTCATACAGCTACTCTGTATGTTCACGGAGAACGACCTCCCGAAACTGTTTGCGAGTGGAGCCGAGCATCCGTGCAAAACAGAAAACTGTTCACAAACGTCCTCTATGTTCGCCGAACTTTAACACACCAGTGGCCGACGAGTTCCCTCTTAAGGTGCTCCAGCATGGAGGATGTGCTCTGGTGCCAGCTGAGGTCGGCTTTACAAACAACACGACTGCCAACCTTTTTTTCTGAGTTTAGCATGAAAAGCTCCCAACACTACTAAGGAATTTGTTCCTGAGGCTGCAATCGCGCTGTTGTTAAGTCTCCAGTAAGCAGTAATGTCATAACATCACTAGTGAGCAGGAGAAAGACGTGTAATGACGTCACAAACTAATCTAATATTAAATTAGTTGCCAACTAATTTGGTCATTGATTTTAGTCAACTAAGTCGAATAATCGTTGTACCCCTATTACACACACACACACTTTAACCTGTTAAAAAGCCACGGCCTGCCGGGGGCCCAGATATCAATTTTATCCTATATACACACACACAACAGTGGATCTGAAACATTACAGATCCAATATAGACAACTAAGGTACCATATTAAAGCTTAAAATCTCTTTACTTTTCATCCATTGTGCCATTTTTTCTTTAATACCTTGCCATGAAAGTTTTTATATATTAGGTACAGTACGAACTTTCATATTTTTCATAAAGCCATTTTTTGGCCAATGTGAACATATACATCTAACGAACAGGCTGACTCAGGATTACGATGATGTAAGCCATTATGCTCTAAAACCTATGACTGTCGAATTAAAATCAAGAGAAAAAGTTATTCCAAACAAGAGATATCTGCCTGGCAACACAGGAGCCCTGGTGCGCAATGGGTGCTGCCACTCACCGGTACGTCTCACACAAACACTTCATACCGGCGCCTACCTTAGGCTGTCCACTTTCGAACGACACCAAACTTGTGTCTTTCCTTCTTTTGTTAATAATACTCATTTCTGTGCAAACAGTACGTGGGAAAAACAATTGGTCAAAATAAAATACAACAAAATATGATCGCCTTGGAACTCCATTTCACTCCAAACATGCCCCCGCCCCCTTTCCAACGATACACACCTAGTCTATAACTAGACTAGAACTCTAATTTGTAGTCACTAAAATATAATTTATAAAATTAATTTAGGAAAGTTTTTTTAGAATTTGTTTTTTTCCATCAAATTTTCATCATTACAGATTCATTTCAATAACTTTATATGTTTTTAATTACAATTTTGAAGGCTTTTCAGTGACATTACAGCATGAAATTCATGTGTGTTGTCCTCACGTGTGATTGGTCCTGCTCCAGCCTCTTCTTCTGTCTGATGATGTCCTCCAGGTGCTGGATGGATTTGGCCACTCCAGGGTCGATGTTGACCAGGTCGTGGGAGCTGATGGACGACTCGTGTCTCAACATCCACTTATAGAACGGCAACCCCAGCGGCAGGTCCAGCTGCAGGGGGCGAGGCACAGGGACAGGGGGCAGGGTTAACCTTTTCACTACTATACTTCATCACATCAGCCTTTAACAGCAGAATATACTGGATCTCTAAGAACCAGTCTCCACATCTGACAACTCAAATGACTCGAATGTTACTTTAAAAGACCATATTCTTCATCTTTTATGACAGATTTTTTGTGTTTTAGAGTTTTATTGGTTCTAGCTATAGTTTCTAAATATTCTAAGAATATTAGAACAATGTACTGGTTGTACACTGAACAGCTCTACTGGACGGCGGTGAGTGCAAGTGGGTGTGATGTCATCGTACCAGCCTGAAGTCCATGATGGCTTTGGCCATGAGTTTTCCAAGGAAACGGAACTTCATTTTGATCTTGGCGATGTGTGCAGGTTTGGTGCTGCGGCCGAACGGGACGGCGAACAGTCCTCTGGAGCTGAACATGTACTTTGTGCCCTCTTGACTCCCTGCGGGGGGCGCCACAGAACAAAGTCAGAACATTCAGTCTCAAACACAAATGGTAAACACATCAGAGAAGCACTGCAATCCTCTCTAAAACACAGAAACCTTTATTTTGATGTTTACACAGTTTCAATGGTGAGCTTTTATTTTGAAAGTATTAGTGAGTGAAGCTCTGAATCGGAATCAGAGGATCTCTGAGCTGCTGAGTGTTAGCAGGGGTGGGGGGCAGACAAAAGTTAGTTTAGGTTTCACTTTAAAAGAACTTTGATGACGGAGGTCTAATGTGACAAGCAGGTACTGATGGAGACGGTTCTATCGTTGTAAAACTATGTTGAACAGAACGCCTGCGGCACAATCCTGTCTGCCCCGCAAAAATATTTTAATTTTATTAAAATATTAATTATATTAGCCCACTTCACAGTGCACTGCACTACAATCCCCAGCATGCACTGCAACACAGTGTAGACTCCAACCTCCTCCAACAACAATCTATGGAGCAGCATTACATCTCAATTCTACACAGATCACATCCCCAAACACACTAACTGTTTCAGCTGCAGTTTAAAGAAACACAAAACACCACAAACAGCAGCTCAGAAACTGATCCCAAGAACAAGCCTGCAGCTAAGAATAGATGGGAGGTGTGTAGATCAAGAAGCACACAGAAGTACAAAAGACCTTTCTGCTGGGGACAGTTTTCTGTAGCTAATGTAGTAGTTTATATAAATAAACAGTAGTAGTAGTAACGTTTATATAAATGTACAACCCCATTTCCAAAAAAGTTGGGACGCTGTGCAGAATGTAAATAAAACTAGAATGCAATGATACGTGAATCATTTAAGCCCTATATTTAATTGAAAATAGCACAGACACCAATTTAAATGCGGCAGAAACTGACAAATGTTGAAACAGAGAAATTAATTGTTTTTTGTAAAATATGCGCTCATTTTGAATTTGATGCCAACAACAAAAAAAAAAGTTGGGACGGTGGCCTGTTTACCACTGTGTTTCATTACCTCTTCTTTACTTAAGTGTTTGGGAACTGAGGAGACTCTGCTGTAGTTTAGAAAGTGAAATGTTTTCCTGGTCTTGTTTGATACAGGATTTCAGCTGCTCATCAGTTCAGGGTCTCCTTTGTCGTATTTTTCATTTCATAATGTGCCAAATATTGTCAGTGGTGACAGATCTGGACTGCAGGCAGGTCAGTTTAGCACCCGGACTCTTTTAATATGGAGCAATGCTGTTGTAATACATGCAGAATGTGGTTTTACATTGTCTTGCTGAAATAATCAAGGCCTTCCCTGAAAAAGACGTCGTCTGGATGGCAGCATATGTTGCCAAAACATGTATATATCATTCAGCATTAATGGCACCTTCACAGATGTGCAGGTCACCCATGCCATGTGCACTAATGCCCCCCTAGACCATCATGAATACTGGCTTTTGAACTGTGCACTGATAACAAGCTGAGTGGTCTTTAGCCCGGAGGACACAGTGTCCATGATTTCCAAAAAGAATTTCAAATGTTGACTCGTCGGACCACAGGACACTTTTCCACGTCCCCTGAGTCCATTTTAAAAGAGCTCAGGCCCAGAGAAGGTGGCAGCATTTCTGGATCCTGTTTATATTTGGTTTCTTCTTTGCATTTTAGAGTTTTAACTGTCATTTGTGGATGCAGTGATGAACTGTTTTCACAGACAGTGGTTTTCAGAAGTGTTTCTGAGCCCATGCAGTGATTTCCACTACAGAATCATGTCTGTTTTTAATGCAGTGCTGTCTGAGGGCCCAAAGATCACGGCCAGCAGATACTGGTTTTTGGCCTCGTCCCTTACATACAGAGATTTCTCCAGATTCTCTGAATATTTTAATGATATTTTGTACCGTAGATGATGAAAAGCAAAAAAAATTCTTTGCTATTTTATGTTGAGAAACGTTCTTCTTGAATTGTTGCACTATTTGATGGTGCAGTCTTTCACAGAGCGGTGAACCCCTCCTCATCTTTACTTCTGAAAGACTCCGCCTCTCTGAGATGCTCTTTTAGACCCAATCATGTTACCGACCTGTTGCCCATTAACCACCAGGTGTTTTAGCATTACACAACTTTACCAGCCTTTTGTTGCCCCGTCCCAACTTTTTGGGAAATGAGGTTGTATATAAAAAAAGATAATATTTTATTATTTGGATTACTTAATTATTATACACACACACACACACACACACACACATCAAATGTCTATTTTGCTGATGTTTTTGCAAATTTTTGAATAAAGAATGGTCAGTTCAGGTTTTAGCCGAATTTTCTTCAAAAATTTAATTAAGTGACCGGTGATCTCTGGTCCACGGACTTGTTGAGATTTTTTATATGACCCTTTCAGTGCTTGAGTTTGACACCCTGCTCTAAACTGCAGATTGATCAGCGGTGCTGTGGAACACTGCAGTGACCTTTCGGGTTGGCCAGTGTGACCTCCTCTCCTCTCCAGAGACCCAGATCAGCTCTCTGCAGCTCCTGAGACACCAGAGCATAAAACTCCTGTGTAGGACCCAGACCTGTCCCCACCTGAGAGAGAGAGAGAGAGAGAGAGAGAGAGAGAGAGAGAGAGAGAGAGAGAGAGAGGGGGAGAACAGTAAACGGTGATAACTAATAATAAAGATGCAGACCTGAATCTGAATAACTGACCTTTTGACTTAAACACTGGAATTCTACATTTTTAAATAATTATTTATCTGTGATGTTGATAAGTGTTTAGTGTTTCACAGCTGAACATCTGATCTACATGAAACACACGGCTGATGTTCTCACTGCATGAACCACAGTGTTCATCACGTTATTATTACAGACTGACGAGAATTTCAGCTGAACAGTGAGTGATGGATCTGCTGATGTATCGTACACACTGCAGTGTGCGCGCGTGCGTAAGTACGTAAAGCTAACAATGCTGAATTAAACCCAGCGTTCCTGCATGACGGCAACAGTGACGATCCGCAGAGAAGCTTTCATTAGGCACTGAAGAAGAACTCATTTAATGGTGATTATCAGACAGACTCGTTAGTGTTCACCTCATTTTCATACTGAATCTCCAGCATCGCTCTGGAGCTGCCCAGATCCTGCATCACCGACTCCGCCTGCTTCAGCAGCTCCTCACGGTTTATCGTCCGCTAGAGAGAGAGAGAGAGAAAGAGAGAGAGAGAGAGAGAGAGAGAGAGAGAGAGAGAGAGAGAGAGACAAACAGACAGACAGAGAGAGGGGGAGAGCGAGACAGAGAAACAGAGAGACGGGGTATGAGAAATCTGAAAAATTTCTTGGAGGTGAACTCAGCTCTGAACTGCTGTTAGAGATGTTTATGCTTTGTTTCTGATCTTGTTATTCTCAGACTGTCCACATGGTACATGGTAAAGCTGGTTGTAATATTATGGTCTGTGCACCGAGGGGACGTCAGCAGCATTTTAAGTGCTGTAATGTGAACCGAATCAAAATGTTGCTGCTTTTAATAACAATTTTAACAGATAAAATAAACTACATCAGTTTGTTAGTTTTTATGTAAAGAAGTCACAACTGATACATTCTTATACCAGAAGCGTTCCTCCTCCTTTAAAGGAATTAAGAAAAATCCTAAACACTCCTCCTCTTCAGATTTCTCACCTTCTTCCTGTCGAGTCGCGGCGCCACTCGGCTGTCCTGTGAATCTGACTGGTTGATTTCGGGGTTTGTGTCCAGCAGGCGCTGCATGGCCCGGTCTCGGTCAAAAGCGGTGACGTAAAACAGCATCTGCCGCGTGTCGAAGGGGAAGAAGAACGGACTGGACAGAACGAGAGGGACGAGGTCAGGAAGAAAGATCTTAAAAAAATCTACAGTTAAGTAACAATGTAGGAGGAAGAAAAGGAGATACAGTATAACATCAAAATATTAGTGTATTATTAATATTTACAGCCCCATTACAGGAAATGGTTCAGTGAAAGATTCCCCCAGTTCATCCACTTATGCAGTGGATCAGCCAGGACGCCTCCACGTCTGGAGTCTGAATTTTGCTTGTTTAGTTTAGCTCTCAAGCTATTAGACCAACGCTGCTGACAAACACTAGAAGAACACAGCGCCATAACAGCTCCAACACACAACTACTGTCAAATATTTGCTGATGGTCAATCAGGAGAATGAAAATAAAATACCAGGGTGTGAATGTGTGTGTGTGTGTGTGTGTATGAGAGTGTGTTTAGGGTGTGTGTACCAGGTCTTCCCCAGCTCGGTGAGCCAGGTGGGGATGTTTCCAGTCATGATGACGAGCGGATCCTGCAGCTGCCGGTTTGCCTTCGCCGTCAGTTTACTGTTAATGAACTCGCTGGTGGAGATGATCTCCTTACACACAGCATTCTGCAACAACAGTTACATCACCGTTACATCATGAACAGAACGGAGATCATCAGTGGACACAGAGTGTCTGTGTTCGAAGCCCTGCGATGTTTCTGAATCTCAGGTTTAGCTCATCATTAATCGGCTCTGCTGATTCTGTGTTTATCAAACTCAGCTTCATGTTCAGAGTATCTGCTGGTGATGAAGAGCAGTTTTGTGTAAATGATGTAAACCATCTTCTTTTCCAGTCTGAGGTTAAAATCTCATTATAAACAGTCACAGCTCTCAAAGCGAGAGCGTCTGATCTGATCAGCGTCGCTGAGGCTGCAGGTTTTCATTCAAACACTCAGGAGAATTCGGATCAGCTGTTCTAGGACTGAGAGGAACTGATTTAGGCGCTCCAGCTTGTTTGGAATTAAACCTGCAGCCACACCGGCCTTTGTGGAAAAAGTCTGGACACCCCCAATCTAAGGTTCAGACAGCGTAAGGGTGGGTACTCACATCGTAGAGGTAGAACCAGTATCTGCTAATGGAGTGCAGAACCCTCAGCAGCAGGATGACCTCCAGAGACGGGTCATCAAACGTGATTCCCTCTGGAGGCTCAGATATGAGGTACACGTCCAACGGGTTAGTGACACTCGGACAGACGCCATCTACAACACACACACACACACACACACACACACACACACACACACACACACACACACACACACAGGAACAGTTCACACTAAGAAACGGCTCAACATCACTACATGATTCCCCGGCATTCAGTATCAATAATACAGGAGAGTGTTGGTGATGACTCGTGGGCTGATGGAGATCTGGGAGTGAAAAAAAGCGAATCCAATCAAATCCCACTTTTAGAGGCACAATTAAAAAAATCAATCATTTTAAATTGAGTACATTGAGGACGACCCTCAATTAGAAAGTAGCCACAAAAAATAATTAATTTTAAAACACAGCAGTAAAAATATCTGATCGGTCAGTCAATACTCAGCTTCAATATCAGTTTTAAAAAAACAAAGCAGTATCGAGCCCCCTCTGACGGCCCCCTCTGATGGCTGTTAATAGCTGGGTGTTTCCTAATTCTGAACTCTGAATAGTTTTTTTTTTTTTTTTAATCCTGAAAAAAACAAAATGCTAACAGCTGTATAATACATAACACTAATGCTAGCTCTGCTAACTGGTGAGCACTGTTGCTAAGACTGGACTGAGAAACAGAACCACATTTCACGATGTTGATAAACTGTTTTTGTTAACAGTCACTGTCGATGATTCAGAGCCAGTTGTTTTATGTAGTGTGTGTGCGAGCAAGCTTGTGAGTGTGTGAGCGAGTGAGTGAGAGAGAGAGTGTGTGAGCGAGTGTGTGAGCGAGTGAGTGAGAGAGAGAGTGTGTGAGCGAGTGTGTGAGCGAGTGTGTGAGCGAGTGTGTGAGCGAGTGTGTACCGTGCCACAGCTCGTCCTGTTTCTTAGCGTTGCGCGGGGACGTTTTGGTGGGAGCTGTTTGTGCTCGACCCCTCTTCCCTCCAACAGCATCTTTACAGCCGTCCTCATCCTCCCTCACTGGCTTATACCTGCACGCGCACACACACACGCCGCACACACGCCGCACACACACACACACGCACACACACGCGCCGCACACACACGCCGCACACACACGCCGCACACACACGCCGCACACAGAGATCAGTAGAAAAACAGTGTGTGTGTTTAACACAGTACCACAGGAATTAGCCTGCTTTTTTATGATTACACACACAATCACACCACCTTCACCTAAAATCATGAACAGGACCTTTTAAACTCACTAATTACCAAAATCACAGCTAATTACAAAGTTCAGTTGAGAAAATAAATTCTCTGAAACTGACCTGTCTGTCCTGCTTTCAGACACTCATTTTACCTGTCTGAGAGACTTTTTTTTAGAAAAGCTAATTGAAGTAGTCAGAAAATGGATTTTCGAACAGCTGAAATAAAGAACACTGCAATCAGGCTTTTAACCCTGAAGGAGTGTGAACATTAATTGACTGAAACTGATAAAAGTATTTAATAAACTGATTTTTTTGGGGCCGAATAAAATTTGAGTCATTAAGATACTAAAAACTCAAAAAAAGTAAATTAAACTGTTACTTTGTCTAGATTCTCCACTGTGCAAACAACTCCTTCAATTATTTGTGTATTCTGCGTATTTGTAATAATAGTAACAATCATAGTAATAATAATAATAATAATAATAATGATAATAATAATAATAATAATAATTCTGTACTGTATTTTATATTTGATTATGATTTTAAAGTTTTCTGCGTAACTTATCGAATGGTTGTGATGTCACAGATGTACAGGAAGGCGTGTGAGTGAGTCTGTACCATATAGTGTGTGTTTTGGTCCATATTCCGGCTCGTCCGAGCGGATTGGCCTCATCATCTGTGCTCTCTCGCTCCTCCTCTGGCTGGAGGCTGAACTGCCGCACTGCCTGGTACACGGTCATGTTGTAGGGCAACAGGTGCTCTCCGATGTAGAACTGCAGACGGTGACGCACGCTGCCCGAATTCAGGAACTGAGCCGCCTGCAGCAGGTCAAAAGGTCAACAGGGTTCAACACTGACCACAACAACCCAAAACCAAAAACAGCGAAGTCTGTATTACACAAATGACCGAAGAGCACAAATCTAACAGACGCACAACAACTGAACATTTACTGAACATTTTATTATTCAAAATTTAAAGTATTGATAATCATTAATTCTGACTTCGAGTGCAAAGTGCAGGTTGTTCAACACTATAGAACATCTCGATTTACTCACTTATTTATTCTATAAATGCTGAAACAGTAAATAGTTTCTCTTCTGTCACATTTACCATCATTACAGAGTTATTTTGATAAAATATTAATGTGCTGTATTTTCCTGCCTCTCTCAGCTCTGTTTGAGAACGTACGTTTTTCTGAGCCCTGATTTAAGAATGAAAGTTACCAGCGATTCATCGATTTCGTCGTCTGAACCATCATCATCGCTGTCTTCATCCTCCTCTCGGACTCGACCGTAACCTGAAAACACACAGTTCAACATCTTAAGGTTAAACAGCTGCACTTCACACACTAATGCACAGAAAAACTGTACAGTTTATCCTCCTGAATAAGAGCCTCTTCTGCTTTACTGTAATCAGAGCACACAAACGCTTTAATATGCATTATAACGCATCAGCATCATTTACAAATATACTTCTTCATAGTAACTCTATACATACTGTTAAAATGTACTTAGTACCTTTTGTAACTGTACTATGTACTGTATTTTGTTTATACATTAATCAACTTTTATTTAAACTCCGAGTGCAGTGAGACGCTCATTCACAGCGCAGCCGAGTCAATACAGAAAACAAGGATTGACTACTGTAAAACAAAGGCCAAAATAGTAATAGTAAAAATAATAACAATAGTAACAATAATTATTTTATATATATATATATATATATATATATATATATATATATATATATATATATATATATATATATATATATACACACACACACATGCACACACACACACACACACACACACATTATATGAACGATATTAACTTAAACTAATGAGGCTGGAGGAAGAAATGCTGCACAACAAATAACGTATTAAACTAGTTTTCGGCCCTAAATCCCTTTAAGCCGTAATTCTGTAGTGCGTTCGGTGAGTCACGCAGAGTTTCGCACCTCTGACAACGAGGTATCTCTCGATGGCCTGAACCAGCGCAAGAGGGTCAATTTTAACAGGCCCCCCCTTCCACTGCTTCACGTTGGTGCAGTCCGGGTGTCTCTGCAGCTGGCACTTCAGCTGGTGGGTGTTGAAGAACTTCAGAGCCTGAGAACCTCTGAAAGCACAAACACGCAGAATCAGCAGCAGAAACGGGAAAAACAGCGTTCACACAAACACTGAGCTGTGAAGAGGAAAGAAGGACCAACAGAACCAGAGAGAACAAAACAGACATTACAGCCATTACAAAAGAATCAGGTTTTTCACTGAACTATCGCTTTAACTGGAGTTAAATGTAGCAGGTGAGTGTTTGGTACCTGCTGCCGTTTCCGTTCCCGCTGGGAAAGTCGTGAACTTTAACGGGAAACTGCTCCATCTGACTCAGACAGCTGTTCATTTTGTGGACCAGCGCCAGCAGCGGCCCGTTCTCCGTCGGCTCCAGACGGTACAGGGGCTCCTGACCCGGCAGCTGAACATAAACGAACACACACACACACACACACACACACACACACGTACTCATTAAAATCTATTTAAATTAGTAAGAAATATTGAAATTTGTCATTTATATCTAAAATTTGAAATACATTAGAAAAAAACTCATTTGATCAAATGCATTAGTTTAGTTCAGGCATTAATCGGCTGTCATTAAATCAGTAAAACATTAACATGGATATTTAATGTTGTCAAATATCCATGTTAAATTAATGTGTTTCATATTCTCAGCTGTGAATTTTTAACAGAAGTCAGATGTTTCTCCAGATTCTCTCTGAATGGTTTTCATACCATAAAAGTAATTTTTTTCATCATGAAACCCTAAAAGCAAACAAAACTCACAGATCTGATACTCGTCCAAAACTGACAGAGATTAAAGTAAAATATTTCAGCTTAATGCTGCTGGTATTTGTTCTATTTATTATGCTAAAATAAATGTTCTACAGGCTCTTTTCACTGATCGTGTTTATTTTTGATGAGTACACGTTTATATATTTGGGCTGAAAAGCTCGTCTGGTTTGGCATCTGTTGTAGTTGGTGTGGAAAATCACTCTGTAGTTGTTTTGTTCTAATTTTAGTGAAACATGATTTGGCGCCTCCTGGTGACCAGACTGTGTACAAAACCTTCCACTTAAACACAGAGAATTTCTATCTAGAATTACTGACTGTATGAGCGCGTGGGGCTTCAGGATCTCAGCACAGTGAGCTGCTTCGTCCACAGAGGAACCAGAAGATCAGATCATTAATAGTTAACATCAGGTCTGACAGCAGATCTATTAGAGTCTGAACTGCAGGAGCGCCTGACTGTGTTACTCAGCTGATCTTCACTCAGACTGCAGTGCAGGATAAACATGGACGGACACTCTTTATTACAGACTCACGAAACACTGACCAGCTTTACTAACATCACTGTAAGGCTGCGTTCACATTACCAGGCTGCAGAGGCTCAAATCAGATTTTTTGCCCTAATGTGAGTCAGATCTGATGTTTTCAGAGCTGTGTGGACACAAACCTGATCTCTTCAAATCCGACCTGAGCCACTTTCATGTGTGGTCCTGGATGGGATACATATCTGATTCATGGCCATGTGACCTTAATGTGACGCTCAGATCGGAATTCATGTGTTTTTTCACTGTGCGTGCGCCATCATTCAGCGTTACCATGGCAGCAGCGCCAAACAGCCAGTAAACTGTGTAAAAGCAGCTCATCTCACCCTTTTCGTCTCGCTCTAATAATGAAGCTGAGAGCTGATCAGAGTTAATCATCTTCTCAGCGAAGCTCGTTCTGCTCGTTAGTATGTGCTGATGACGTACATGACACGTTACTGAGTAAGATGAGCTCATGCGGCTCGTTTCTGGAAGCCAGTTCATTCACATTAATGACAGATTTGAGTCACTGACCTAAGCGAGTGTGAACCATCCTGTCAGAGATCAGATCTGAGTGAAACGTCGGATTAGAGCAACGAGGTCTGTAACGTGATCGTAGCCTAAATGTCTGAGCAGTACTGTTTAAAAGTTTAGATCATTTTAATAATATTGAATTGAATTGGACCTTTAGCCAACTGTGTTTTGCACACAGAGGAATTAGACCTCCGCATTTAACCCATCCGTGCAGTGAAACACCCACATACATGCACACTAGTGAACACACACACTAGGGGGCAGTGAGCACACTTGCCCGGAGCAGTGGGCAGTCCCATCCACGGCGACCTTCCAGTCACAAGACTGGTTCCCTAACCTCCAGCCCACGACTGCCCAAGACAGTAAGGTCCCACTGAGATTTGAACTCGGATCGCTGGATTCTGAGTCCAGAGTGCTAACCATTACACAATTAACAATTCTGCTGCAGATAAACGTATTAGACGACTAATCTGGTCGTCCTGAACATCTTCACAGGTTTCAGATAATCAGCAGGTCAACAGCTGTAAATAAAATAAAGAAATCTGAGGAACAAGGTTCTCAAAGTTAATATCCGGAACGCCTCACAGCAAAAGTCCAATTTTGAGGCAGAAAACTCAAACTAGTATAAACACATGATTCCAGCATATTATTTAATGACTACTTTTTAAAACACCAGAAACGCTGAATAAAAGACCTAAAACACCTTAGTATCTGTTCAGAATTAAAGTCTGCACTCATTACTGTACAGAATTATTATTCAAACGACGAGAGCTTTAAAATGTTAGAACAGACACACTCAGAGTCCACCAGGCGGCGCTGTGACTCACAGGACAGCCGTAGAAGATGTGCAGGAACCTCTTGATCCTCTGGTCTCTGCTGACGATGTCTCTGTCGCTGTTGGAGGTCAGATAGAGCAGCAGCTGCTTCACCAACCCGCTGTGCTGGATCTCGAACGACGACACGTCCGACTCGGACACGATGCTGCAGATCTCCATCAGGCACTCCACACCGCGATCCACCTGAACAGAGTCGCTGTTAGAACTGCACGGTTTTCAGCCCGTCTTTTTACAGACGGACGTCATACAGAATGAACCGCTCAACATAAAACACGCTTAAAACGAATAAAACGATCAGATCTGATAAACGAATAAATGAAAACGAAACAGCGAAGCGGCTGATGGGCAGGCATGTGTTTGTACCTGCAGATTAAGCTGCTCTGTCGCCGTACACAGTCTCTGCAGGACGTTCAGCGCCGGGTTGCTGCCGTCCACATTCTCAGAGTTAAAATATCGCTCCACAAATTTACTGGCCTGCTCCTTTATCCACGCTTTGATCTTATCCCTGAAAACACAGACAAAAACAGCACAAAAGTGAAGTTCAGGTGAATTTTCTGTTCAACCGTAAATGACGCAGCAGTTACATCCTGGCTCCTCAAATAAGAAGCTAACACACTGTGTGTGTGTGTGTGTGTGTGTGAGTGAGAGAGAGAGATTTTGGTGAGATGCTAATCGGTGGGGTATTGGCTTCCATCACTTGGTAGCTACATTAGCCTCACAGCTCCAGCACTAAAACTAAAGAAATAAACACGTCTCGGCTGATCCAGCACATCTGCTGAAAGGGGGAAACTGGAGGATCTGATTTTTCACTGATCTCTTTAAGGAGCTCTGGAGAGGCAGGTGAACGTGTGATCAGTCGGAGCTCTGAGTACCTGTTGTTGGAGACAGAGTCTTTGGGCGTGGCTCGGGCGAGACCGCTGACGCCAGCCGTGCGGGACGGCTCCGAGTTAGTGCTGTTGGTCTGGGCTCCCAGTTTGCCCCACGTTTTGGGGTTCAGACTGGCCAGGAAGGAGGATTTGGGGGACGCTGTAGTGGTGGGACTCTTAGCTGGGGAGGAAATCAGAGAGACATGTTCACACACGATTACACTTTCAGAACGATTTTCAGAATGTGCTCAAAAAAAAGTTAATAAAATATCTAAAAATAAACAAACAGACTTCAGTAAATAAACTCAGAGAGAGAGACAGACAAAACTGTATTAATCCAGAAGGATGGACAGACAGACAGACAGGGTTGTGAAATGTTACCCTGATTGTCCACTTTCTCATCGTCTCTGGGGGGCGAGTATTTGGGGCGGCGGGGTCCTCTCTTAGGTAGACGCTTCCTCTTTAGAACATCACTCAGACGACTGAACCACACACACACACACACACACACACACACACACACACAGCAGTTATTAGTGCTGAAATACAGTTAAATATATAAAACAGAACAGACAGACTGAACAGCAGAGCTGACACGATCAGATGAAAAAGATAAGATTATCAGTAGTCGATTATCTGTGACCAAAATATTCATTCACTAAGGGATTTAAGAAAATTTCTCAAGTCTTTTCCAGACCAAATCTCACAAATTGTACACACACACGACAGCAGTTTCTCATGAAACATCATCTTAAAAATGACGTCTAACTGACGACACACTTACAGTAAAACTACAACGGTCCGTTAACAGTCGCCTACGTTGATGAACAAACTGTCAGTGCAGTAAAATTAGAGCTGTGCTGACACAGCAGATGAATAATGATACGTTAAATCCTCAGACTAACACGTTAAATTCGTTTCAAGACGCTTTAAGAGACGACACCACTGCGTGTGTTAACACTCAACACCTGTAAAATACACAGCCATAAAATCAGTAACGTTCCCGACATCATCGCTGGTCATAAATGTCATCAGCATCAACATGCGACGCTGCCGCGTTTTAAATCACAACTGCGTCGAACAGAACAGAACAAGAACAGAAGAATTAAGGTGGGGCAAATACTTTTTCACAGCAGCGATGTGAACATACCCCTGAGGGCTGAGGTCCAGCGAGTCGTCCATGCTGTGCTGGAAGCTCGGCGAGCCGAGGTCCGGAGTGACGTTGGAAGCGGCGGTGGTGGTCGCCGTGGTGATGGTGGTGGTGCACAGGCTGGTGGTCCCGCTTGTGCAGGCTTTGGGGGGGCTGGTGAAAAATGTCTCTGACTCTGCCAGGTTCTTCACCTGGTGCATCACACCTGGACACACAGAGAGTCCACATCCTGAACTCCTCTGGACTTAATTACTCTCCTCTGAGCTCCACTAATTTACTATAGATTCATAAACCAAATAGTCATAATTTATTTCTACACAATCATTTTCAGCCTCTGTTCATCCCTCACAGTCACACAGGCTGATGAAGTGTCTGTATGAACGGATCTCATTTACCTTCTCGTCTGAAATAGACGCTGAACACGTCGGGCAGCTTCTGCATGAGGATCTCCGCCATCTGCAGAGAGCCCACTACAATCTTCAGGTCCTGACTGGACAGCATGGAGGCTATGTGACTGTAAACACACGCACACACACACGTGCACACACACACACACACACATTCAGCACTGCTGTTCACACTCACCTCACTACAGACTCTCACTGTCAGAGCCAGTGCAGTGCAGGAGTCACTACAGCACTGACGCTGGTCCTACGCTACACAAGTTTTTGCCCGATTGTAACCCTGATTTGTGACGAATTTTCACAATCGTAGTGATTCTGCGGGTCGGGAGCTCGATCGGAAGCAACTGACGACGCGGATGATCTGTAGTGTGACAGGAGAATCAAAGACCCTCCGATATTATCAAACGTTTAATATTTACAACTCAAAACGTTCACGAGTCCTGCAGTGAGAGACGGCCAGAGATGAACTCAGTGAGTGATTCAAACAGCCAATCAGAGAGCTGGAAGAGCGGAGAGAAATGGGAAAAGACGCGCATGAACAGCAGAACAGAGACAGAGGAGCTGAAAATAATTATTATATAAATGTTTATAATTTTTATCATGTTTATGTTTATAATGTTGATCCAGATCAGCTCGCTCTCTCTCTCTCTCTACAGTTTCAGCACAGCTTCCAGTTTGTAGTGAAATATTCTCCAGCTCTCACTGTATCAGAGTTTCTCACCACAGATTCATCCCCAGTTTATTACACATAAAAAGCCCAAACAGGTCCAGTGAGTTCAGCTCTGTTTGTGTCGTGTGATCTGAAGAGATCTGGCAGTCTGAGTTCTTATTAGTAGCTGAAACTTGTGTGTGTTATTGTCTCTCTCTTTGCCGTGTTGTCTAGTCTGAGCACCTCTCGACAAAAAGACAAACTGACATTAACTTTGTGAGGCTCTGTTTTAGAAATCTGTTAGGATCTTAAGTTGTGCAGTGACGCCCAGCCTCACACATACAGGAACCTAAAAACACCAAAAAGCTCTTTAGGACTGTAACGATTAATCATTACACAGTCAGTAACTACATTAGCTGCTGAAAAAACCTGATCAATCAGCTTCTACTGTTTCATTTAACATGATCATGTGATCCACGTGGTCAGTCTCTGTGTGCGAGCAGGTCTGGGTCTCAGAGTTGGGGGTGCAGGTCGGGTTCAGGCTTTAATTTTGCACCCATGCATGTCAAAAAAAAATATAAAACCAAAACCAAGCAAAATTGGATGCACGTGGCGACTCTGAATACTGTTCAATTACTCAGCGTATCACAGCAGCACTCAGCATTCAGCATAACCAGATAAGATTAGAGTCATATGGAGATCTGAGAGCCACAGAGGATCATCTGGTCTGAAATGTACACACAGGCAGACAGTCAGTCCTTTACATAAACAGGTAAATGCTAACGTTCTGTTATCTAAGCTAACGCCGCTAGCCTAGCCTACTTTGTATCTCTCCGCTGAAAAGCAGCGAGCTGTTGGTGAACGGATGTGTGTGTGATCAGTGATAATGAAAGTTTTATTCCATTAACTCTGATACACACCCCGCCCCCCTCCCCCAGGCTCCAACCGACTGACCTGGACACGGCGTGGTTGCGCAGGACGTCCTTCAGCAGCTCAGCATCTGCGAAGTAGATGATGCGGAGGATGGCTCTAAGGCACTTGTGTCTGACAGCAGGTCCGGCGGAGGAGCTGTACACTTCGTACAGCACACCGAACAGCGTCTTTATAAAACACTTCGCCAGCTCGGGGTCCTCCTTCATCAGCTGAGCGCGAGCGTCCTCCCCACGTACCTCCAGATGACCTCCTGACAGGCAGACAGAAATAAAGTGACAAAGGCTTCAACAAAAATCTTTGTGTAGGGGGGTTAAAGGAACCATTTCCTAGATCTGTCTTATATATAAATATATGGAAGTGTGTTCATGGTTGTGACCTTGTGTCTTGGTAGTTTAGTAGTGAACTGTACATTTTAAAACTTCAACACTGTTTACACTCTTATTTAAATTAAAAGAGGGATACGGGCCCTTTAAGTAATGAGTGACGTGTTCGTCTCACCGGAGTTTGGATTGGCCAGCGGGTTTGGTTTCCTCTGGATGCCGCGGGCAGTGCCAGTGTCCTCGTTAATTTGCTGCATAGAGTTAAAGTCGATAGTGTAAACGCGGCCCAGCGTGGACAGACTGATCTCATCCTCACCGTTCTGATGGGCTGTCTGATACAGAAAAAGAAATAAAAATCAGGACGGCAGCCTCAAATAAGACACTGACATCTTCTTTAGCGTCAAGTGTGGAGAGGCTGACGACAGCGGCTCTGTTAATAACATACACATTCATTAAAGTGACGGCAACAGTAAGTCAAAGACTGATTATGAAAAATCAACAAAAATCAATATAAACAAAACAGCCATCACAATTACTGTTCATTTACACTGAGTATCTCATGTTTGTAATTTTGAGAACAAACTGATTTTAATTCACTTGCTGTGAGGTTTTTCAAAAAAAATAAATCTGATCAAACTTGAAATTCATGTTCGTCATCATTTAAATTAGTTCCTCACTGAAACAGAAACGTAAGATCCAGATTAGCCACCGATCCAACAGCAGTGAAAGAGTTAAAGTGGTGACAGAAATAAACATGTCAGTTACAGTTCTAGATAGTGTTATGGAATGTAATCCAGTGTGATCAGAGTGCAGGTTAGAGGCCGAAGCTGTTTCTCTCTGGAGGAGCACAAGGAGAAGTACCTCGATGATGCGGCTGTCGATGCGGTTGTAAGGATGCCACAGACCACGGTCGTCTCTCCACTGCCAAACAGCCGCCTCTGTAGTGTGGGCACTGCCCTTCTTCAGCATCGCATCCACCGCAAAGATCCCCTCTCTGGGCAGACACGGCATCAGCTCACTGTAACACACAGAGACACACAGAGTCAGGAACCAGCGAGGAAGTTTGAAGGCCAATTTATAGTCCACGCGACAAACATCGCTCAACAAAAATATAAGACACAAACGTCCTTGTCACACATCAAAAATTTGGAAAGGGCGCAGACGTTGTCGCGCAATCTGATTGGACAGAAACTCAAAGTTCTACTTCTGGATTGTTGCCGTGGTGACGGAGTGCAGCTGTGTTTATTGTCTTGCTGCTCCGCTGCTGAACGGGTTGCCAGTTACTCAGAACTCAGATCAATATACATTCACAAGATGATTTGTTTTCATTTCAAACCCTTTTCCCGTGACTGTGTTTACTTTAAAATGTAGTCTGAGCAGTAAATGCACTTGAGACACTGCACCTTTCAGAATAACCGGAATTTATGGGGAAACCGCAAATCTGGCAACGCTACATGACGGAGAATGAACTTGAGCGAAACACGTGTGAAAAATGAGCCGTATTTCTAGTAGCTGCAGCTTAAGATCCTGCTGTTAGTGCAGCTTGACTGCAGCAGCTGTTCTCTGCTCTGAGTGTTTCAGTAGCTGCGCCGTCAGACAGGTTTTCACAGAAACTACAGACGATATTTTATCCAACCGTTTTGTCTCACCAGTTTTTGTTTTTTTTTTCTGTCGAGTGACACTGTCGCCTGGACTGTTAATTCTTTAATTTTAAACTTTTACACGAGTAACAGGCTCTAACAGGTTCGGTACGGTGGGGTTTACGATGCTCTGATCATGAAAGTGGAGACTAAACTGCACTGATTATCAGTTCTATTACTCCAAAATCAATAAGCCAAATTAAAAATATTAATGCACTCATTTTCTGTCCAAAAGAAAATTCGGTTTATTTCAAATGTTAAAATTCTTAATTTTTGGGTACGTAGTCTTCACTGTCTAACCCATTACTGCAGTCACACTTTAATTCCGTGTGTTCTTAATGTTCCCCTAAACTCACTATCAAACACCAAGAAATCAACCATGTTTATTACAGAACTGGAACAGGAAACAGAACGTGAGGTCAGCAGGAACTTACCATATGAGGGAGGTGAGCTCGTAAAGCTCCTGGGGGCTTCTGGGTACCAGATCGATCTGCTCCTGACAGCTTCCGTTAGACGCTCCACACAGCAGGAAGCGCAGAGTCTCTGCGATATCTACATACACATTTAATGACCTGTTATAACGACCTGTTATAAATGCTCATTATTCACTGTTCATTCACAGCAAACACCAGATAATCATTCATCAGAAACGGACAAACACTGACAGATGCAGGTAAGAAGCTGCCATGACAACAATGACAAATACAAGGTGAGGCAGGTGATTACAGCATGCATGCACACCGGCCACTTTATCAGAAACACCCAACACACTGAACATTTAGCGTGTTTATTAATTATTAAAAGATATTTATTGTGATTTTACTGAATCCAAACACCACCAGTGCTGCTGTGATCTTATCCGTGCTGCTCTGGTCTACAGGTGAGCTACAGGAGACAAGAGTACAAAATTGTGCACAGTGTGACGTCACCAAGACTCAGACCTCCTGCTCTAGACCACTGACCAACAATGAGGTCAGTTTCTGACCACAGAGACATTCTTAGCTGGATATTTTCAGGAGGTTGACCACTCACAACCTAACAGACACTGAGTGGACAACAACTGTCCTGTGATTGTGGGCTGATTAAACTGTACAGCAACAGATGGACTACAGTCTGTAACTGAACTGGACACCTACATAGAGGAGCTATAAGGAACGTGTTTCCAATAAAGTGGCCAGTGAGTAAGCACAAGACAGGTGTTTCTAATAAAGTGGCCAGTCTGTCTGTGTGTGTGTGTGTGTGTGTGTGTGTGTGTGTGTGTGTGTGTGTGGGACACTCACTCTGCTTCATCAGCTGGACAGCAAGGGTCGGGCAGTTGGAGCACATGAGGGAGAACATGCGAACCACCATGATGAACATTCCAGAGCTCAGCACTGGCGGAGTGACCACCAGCAGCTGCTGGATGTTGGTCAGAAGGTCACGAGATGCTACCTGCTGCAGCAGATTCTAGACAGCAGAGGGCAAAGGTCAGCACACCGAGAACAACACTGTCAGTCAGTTCTGCTTATTTTAATTTGTTTACAGTAAATAACAGCTTCTGTCTGAACAGGCAGGTTAATTATTCGAGCTGAGGAACCTTTATTTTTTTAATTTGTCTGCATCACCTGATTGGTTCTGCTAGACAGACTACTTTAAAAAAATAAATAAAAAATAAGATGTGAAAGAATAACAGAGGAGTTCAGGAGTATATTTCGAGAGGACGATAACTAAACAATGTGCCATATCATAAAAAAAAAAAAACATTAATAAGCAATACGACGGACGAATGTTCTGTCCATGTTCTCTGAGAGAACGTGTGAAGAACAGCGGTGTGAGCAAAACACTCGAGTGTTCAGAATTACAGAGAAGGCTGTGGAGGATAACGACAGAGCTGCTGAGGTTCACAGGGTGAAAGTGTTCGTTAACTTCGATTAGTAACGAGTGACAAACAGAATGCAGAAAATAAAACACTGATGTTTGTTTGATGAAATGGTTGTAATCCACAGCTGTCAGCCTCTCGGTTCAAACAGAACCAGGTTCTTGTGTTGGGTGCGCTTAAAACGATTTATGGCTGTTTACTTCAGATACACACACGCAGTGATGCCTGATTACACCCATCAGTACTACGTTCCACGCTGCACAAACACTAAAATCCCACCGCATTAATGCAGAACTCAGCTGAGCGTCATCTACTCGGTTTAGTCCGGTACGTTACTGAACATCGACAAAGAAAACAATCTTCATCTTTACTACAAACACTCTGAAGATGCAGGTGCCCTCAAACTTTTGACAGACTAAAGCTGATCTGCCACACTGCGAATCTTCATCTCACCTCCTCGTGCTGAAAGTTGTCCACCAGCCTGGCAAAACAGAGACAAGTGCTCTCCACAGACTTCTTATCCTGCAGGAGAAAAACAGTGACAGTTCAGTTAAATGAAGTTTGGTAAAACCAAAAGTTTCCCCTTGGACCCCAAACACAGCCCATCAGCCAAGAAACATCTTAAGTTTGCTTATTTAGTTTTAGCATTTTAGATGAAGTAGCTCAGAAGCTGTGCTGGTTTTGATGGTCCTGAATCTCCTACCAGAGGGGAGCGTGTAGAAGAGCTGATGTCCAGAATGAGAGCAGTCAGCTGTAATTTTGTAAGCATACAGTCTCCTCAAATCAGGTTAGAGGAGTTGGCTTCCTGTTCGGCAGCCTCGGATTAAAATTTTCAGTTCCATCTTTAAGAGTGCAGCAGCTTCAGGCGGCAGAGCGTAACCGCTGCCCCGTTTATTACGCTTTATAACGAGCAGCTGGTGAACAGGATGTCACATTCAGCTTCATGCCTCAAACTAAGACTCATCGAAAGTACAAATACCTCAGTGAATCGTGTGAGAGAGTGTGGTGAGTGTGTGCGCACTCTGACCTGGTGAGTGAGTCTCTGCGTGAGCAGTGGCAGAGAGTCGGCCACAAAGTGAAACTCGTCCGGAGTTATGCTCTGACAGCAGTTAGCGGCTATGGCTAACGCGTTCCTCTGAGCGTTAATGCTGAAAAACTCCAGATACAGCAAGCAGTCCGCTAGACCACCCTAGAGAGAGAGAGAGAGAGAGAGAGAGAGAGAGAGAGAGAGAGAGAGAGAGAGAGACTGAAACTTCTTGTGGAGTCAGTTAAGATCTCACAACATGTCCAGTTAAAACTTTCGGTGCTGGATTTGTTAAATCAACTGCTAAGGAGGCTCCGCCCTCCAAACCCCCAAACTCCTCCAGTTCAGGCTCTTTTAAATAACACCACTTCCACATAACGCAGTCAGTCAAACAGCATCTATTTACTCAGAACAGCTGAGCCTGACGAAACGTCCATCTACGCGTCAAGATCTCGGTCCTCACACAGCTCCATCAGTGTGGTTGACCATCAGTTCAAACTGAAGTCTTTCATTAGAGGTCAGTTTGACCAAAGTTCTGCTGTCAGCTGGATGTTTGGTTCTCTCACTATTCTTTATTATTTCAACTACAAGATGACCGTTTTGAAAATGGCACCATTTTACAGTGTAATTATGATGTTCTTACTACGTTTTTTGCTTCTAGATCTGATCACAGTCATCGAGTATCAGCCGTCTGTAACAAGTCTGATCTGCTATTAATGTATCTGCGCAGTTCAGGTGAGATTAAGCTGCTCTGCCAATTATTCCTACAGCAAAATCAGTTCATTTCGGTGTGACCGTAATGTGACAATCTGGACTGATGAGTTTTGTTTTCTAGCCAACTTTTTCAAAATGACCGTTTTAATATCGGCTGATGATCGTATCCGATTGATTCATCTGACGACTCAGTTACTTTAATATCCTGCATTGATGCCAAGTCGACACTCTGAGCTGAAGCTGTAGTTTGGACTCCTTCTGTGAAGCAAACGTTTAACATGGTGGTGAATCTGCTTCGATCACTTTAACACCCACAGCAACTGCTCCTCTCTCTCGATAACGTTTCTACCAACGTCCAGGGTTAGTGCAGCTGTACACAATTTTACAAACAAATTCAGCAACACAATGTAAGACTTTCTGCGTCCGACAGAGGAGCACTTTCACAAAAACAACCGGCCTCAGTCGCTCAGAAGTGAAGAGAAATCCTTCCTCCACTGGAGGTTAATCATCATCTGCTCAGTGGACGATGTGGAAACACGTCGGCTTGTTGAAATAAAATAGAGAACAGAGAAATGCGTTTCAGCTATCGTGGTTAGTTGAGCCGCACAGCTCACTGTTGCTGCAGAACACTGGTCTCCAACAAGATCCACCTTACCGCAGAGCTTCAACCAATCTGATCAGAACCTCTTCAAAAGCTCCTGACTGGCTGGATCAGGTCAGTGCTACATGAGGAGGCGGAGCAGATTATTAGACACAGGGTGGAACTAAACTCTGCAGGAAGGTGGACCCTCAGCAGGGCTGGAGACCAGCGCTGTAGGAAATAAAAGTAGAGTGCACATTTCTATCACAGCAGGACACACACACACACACACACACCCCGAGAACAGGGAGTGTGTTTTGTACTCACAGCCTGCAGGATGGCCTTGCTGTGTCGCCGTGACAGCATCTCCAGAGCAGTCAGAGCCTGTTCAGCCACATCGATGAACTGGATCACCTGAAGCTGCTCAGGTTAAAAGGAAATATATTTTTCAATAAGATTTAATTATAATAAGTAAGTTGTGCATCCTGGTGTGAGACACTGTCAGTAATCCGTGCTGTTTTACCCCCGATTTACTGAAACTGAATAAACTACACAGCAGACCTGCACAGGGGGAGGACAATGGGAGGAGGAGGAAGAGGAGGTGGTGGTGTCGCTTGTGTTAGGTTCACTTTCAAACATCCTCGTCGGCCAACTTTGGGAAGCACTGATCCAAAGAATTTCAGCACTGAAACCGTCAGCACTGAAACCGGTCAGCGCCAGCTAACGCTAACTGTCCCGCTGGTGTGCTGCTGCGAGTGAACGGTTTGACTTTTGTCCTCATCTGGGCAGTAAATAACACAGCGCCACCCAGTGTACTGTAGTGGCCACCTGCGCATCAACATAAACATCATTTGGATAATTACTGTTCTTTTCTCGCAGAGGCGCATCAGTAACTCACCTTTTCCAGGAAGACAGGGATGGCGTCCACCACGACGGCGGAGGAGCGCGGCAGAGCCTCCATCATGTAGGTCAGAGCT